GCCGCCGGGCCCGCTGCCCGAGGCCGTGCTCGCCCTCTATAACAGCACCCGCGACCGGGTGGCCGGCGAGAGCGCCGAGCCCGAGCCCGAGCCCGAGGCGGACTACTACGCCAAGGAGGTCACCCGCGTGCTAATGGTGGACAGCAACAACAGTGAGCTCGGCGCGCGGGGGCACGGGGGGAGGGGGACCCCCGAGGGCAAGGGGGTCGCGGGAGGGGGCCCGCACGTCTGGCGGCGGCGGCGCCGTGCCCGGGGGCGGGCGTGGAAGAATCACCCGGGGATCCAGCCGATCCGCGGGGGAAGGGTAACTGCTCGGCCGGGGGTGGGATCGAAGAAACCGGTTCAAAACCCCGGGAGAGAGCGGGCCAAGTGGGCCGCTTCCAGGGGACGCCGGGAACACGCGGCATCGTGGGGGTCCCCTGGAGGCACAGGAGGAATTGGGGGGGGGCGCCAGGAGACTAGATTGGAATGCAGGGGCAGCCGAGAGGGGAGTTCCATTTGGGAGAAGCGAAAACCCCAGTTTTGCGGAAAAGGAAGGTAAAACGCCGTCTCTGCCCTTGAGTTGATTCCCAGTCCTTGCGACCCGTCTAAGGCCGGGTCGAACCGCCCCCTGTGGATTTCCAAGACGGTAACTCTTTCTGGGAGCAGAGGAGGCCTGGGCAAAGCCCACCCAGACCCGCGGGGGTCGCGAGGGGGACAAGATTCAGGAAACTAGGACCACTGGCAGAGGACGCGAGGGGCACGGGATGGGAGAGCTGTCGCACGGGGTGTTGTGTGTTGTTGACCGTCAGGTGAGAGGGACGCAGGAGCGTGGGGTGCTGGGGGTGCGTGGGAAGGTGTGGGTGCTTCTCCTTGGGAGGGTGAAGCCCGGCGGAGAGGGCGACCATCGAGAACACGTAGACCGCAGCGCCTTGGGCAGGCGTGGAGAGGAGGGAGACAGCGTGGGAAAGGTGGCCAGCGGCGGGGATGCGAGGCACAGCGAGCCCCCCTTAGGCCCGCTCCGGGCTGCAGGGAGTCTAGTTTTCTTCCCGAAGACGGAGAGGTGGGGGTGAACCACCCCCCCAGGGAGTAAGATCCCCGAGTTGGGGGTCGAGGAAGCCCCACGTGGGCGCCACGCGCTGGGGGAGGAGCGGCGCTTCCGCCGGGGTGGGGGTGGGGGTGGGTTGGAGGACAC